ATATCGCTGAGCCTTGGGTATAAAATGATTTTTCAGCCAATCATTCATGAACACTTGTGTCATCCATGCTCTTTTATTTACGTGATATATAGCAGGGAAAATCATTACTCCTTTAAATGCTCGAGGTCGTGCATGTTTTCTGATTACAAAAAGTTTGCACTTGTGCGTTCTTGCAGCATTTGCGCACGCTAAAATTGTTAGTCTCACTTTGGAACCTTTGACACCAGTTGGAGCCTTTTTTGTAGTGGTTGCCAAGGTATTTTGTGGTACATATTGCCAGAAAAGACCAGTTTCATCAGCATTGTAAATTTATTCTGCAGATAATTGTTCATTAGTAACGAATTCATCTGCAAATTGTTCAGCAGCTTCAGTATCAGCTGAAGATTTTTCACCTGAAATTTTTAATTGTCTTATACCATGGCGATTTTTAAATTTGGTTAACCAACCTGTCGAATATGTGCACTCTCCATTTAAATTCATTTCTTCATGATATATTTTGGCTTGAGCCATTACCATTGGACCCGTCAATGGCACGCCCTCGCTGTGACGCTGTCTGACCCATTCAATCATCACTTTGGCATGATCGTCACTTTTAGCATAACAAACCCTTTTTCTGTTATTCATTGCAAGTAGGGTGTCGGAATCCACAAAAAATTCGAAAAGTTCCTTCTTTTTGCTTATGTCATATACAGTTGACTTTCCAATGTTATATTCCTAGCATAATTTTAAGACGGATATGCCTTTATCCATTTTCTTGCAGCAATTCCACTTTTTGTTTGATGGACATCGAAACATGCTTACGATTTGTAGATCCTTTGGCAGCTCCAGCATCGGAAATTCTATTTGACATAATCGAAAGTTCAAGCTTGCTTTTATAAAATTGCTCTAACAGTCTGCAAAAAATAATAAGCCGAATCCAATTCGAAGATTAAGGAACAACACAATCTGCAACATTAACTGAAATAGATAATTAGATAATTTTAGCTTAGCTTATACCATCCGTTATGCATTAAACGCGCATGCACAAACGTATTATGTGCATGTGTAGAGGTATTGCACATGCATGAACGCATTATGCATTGACACATGCGCAGAAAGTTTATAGCTTTGAGATCCGGATTATAGATCATTCCGGATTATGGATGTCCGTATTAAAGACTTTTGACTGTATAATAATTTAATTAAATGTATTTAATACACCTTATTCATTTTGCACTTTTAGTCTGAATATTATGCTTTAAGTCCTGAAATCCGCACAACCTCTGGTCCCAAGCTTTGCGGATTTCTGGAATTCTACAGTATTTTAACAACTATTGAAAACGTATTCGGAAGTTAAATAATAATAATTTTCATCTTATGTTCACGAGACATCCTTGTCCATATTAATCTTCAGTTTCTTCTTCCTTTATGCGACCTTATCACAACTCCTCCCTTCATAAAAGAATTTTTCTCGACTATGGAAGGAAAAATTCTAAATACTTTTTACTGCTTTCAAAACACAAGTGGTAACCATTTAAGTGATAATAGAGAAGCCAGTTACATTACTCTGCACTTATTTCCAGATAACATAAGTGCAAAAATACAACAAAAAGATTTACTACTCCTAATGTCTGCTTAATACAAAATACTTTCCTCAAATTTTACAAAATGCTAATACTTAAGATAAAACATTTATTTCTAACCATTTTGAAAATGAAACACACGATGCAAACAATTTTAAATTGACAAAAATATAATTCCAAAATGCTACAAAAATCATTTTTCAAACAACAGTTTACAGAACAAAAAGGATTGGCTCCTCCATATATTTCATATGCTAAAGTTCCTGCTGTCCATACATCTGATCTCGAATAATCAATCACTGAGAAAGGACATGCTTCAGCATTTAGAACTTCTGGTGCCATTAATGCTATATTTCCACCTTTCTCAGAATCATATGAATTGTAAACCAAATAGAGGCCTTCATGACAGCACCCAAAGTCAGTCAAATCCAGCAGAGGAGGGTCCATACTGTAAATCTAATAAAATATTGTCAGTCTGTAAATCCCGATGAGTAATATCATTTTGAAGCAAGTGTACTAAAGCTTCCAAAAGCTGAGTAAACAGTAGCAATGCTGTGTGACCAGAAACATCTATTCTTTTAAATTGCAATTGTATCTCTTCATAACAAGAAATAGAGTCATATTTCTACCACATCCATCACTCAGAAGACGGACAGGAAGGGCTTGTGGATAGTTAATGAAGGCACCAGGAAAGCAGAGGTGTTCGATCAGCAAAAGCAAAATGCATTTCAGCTATATTTGGATGAGGTCCCAATTTCTTTCTCTTGACTTTATGTTTTGTCAGCTCACCCAAAGAAAACTCGCCAATGGCTGGTAATGTCTCCTTATACATTGCACGCCATATAACATATGCATTTGATTCAGCATTATAATTGAACATCACTTTTACAGCAAGTCTATTTGGAAGCAATTTCTCAGAAGAAAACGTCTTGATAGAAGTGGGTTTTTTTTTAATATCAAATTCTGCGGATCTTGTGTTCCTTCAGTATGCGATATAATAAATTTTGTTTGGTGTTGAACATTATCACGAGTTTCAGTTGCTTGTGCTTCCGAGAATTCTGCTGGCGAAACATCCGCAAGGATAGAGCATTCTTCTAAACTGATGTCTGGAATTTTAATTGCCTCCTCTGTATTACTGGTTAACTTCCTTTCTTCTGAATGCTCATTATTGATGACTCTTTCACTTTCTATCTCTTTCTTTTCTTCCGATCTGGAATCTAAGTCTTCTGCACTCGCTCTCTCTAAACTCCTGCGCGCATGCATCGGACTGGAGTCTCTACAACATTCAAGAGAACCGTTCGTTCCCTAATTTCCTCAATCAACTGTGCAGTTTTATTCCCTAACAAATACTACTCTTTATCTAACTCTACTGGAGTAACCGCTGCCTTTGTGGTGACCACACCAAAATCACCTTCAATGGTGACTTTCACCAAAGGTAAACATTTACATTCTTTGTCCAAAGGCTGTTTCACCCATACAGTTTCCCCTAATAAGTCACTAGCATTAATCCAAGTACTATTACACAGATCTGTTCCAGCTCCAGTACCTCTCAGATATTTTCTCTCTATCCCGTTAATTACTGCTTTCTTGAAATACGGCTCAAAACATTTTTCTAAACTCTCCGTTCCTAGATTATTCACCAGATTAGCCTTATTCTTTTCCAGAGATGGACAGTTAGGTCGGATACGTCCGTCATTTCCCCATTGGTAACACCTTATTTTCCGCAATTTCTCGAAACCTGCTTCATTGGAAACTTGCTTTTTTTAGGAATCTCCACTTTTTTATGCTCCTCTGATTTCATTCTTTGATGACCACTACTTTTCAGATTATAACTACAATTGGAATTTACATACCACTCTCTATCTCTCTCAAATAGTTTCTTTAACCCCGCTCTCTGTTCTAACTTCCTCGTATCTCTTCGCAAAGCCTCATACTTGTCGCATTTCTCTGCTAAAATGGAAGCTGTTTTAAATTCTCCCAATTGTCTAAGTAGTGCTCTCTTATTTCTAGAAGGACTTGCCGCTTAACTTGCTCGGTGAGCATAAGTTTCTTAAGACCTTCGAAATCTTGAGCTTCTACTGAATCCAACTAATTCTCTAAATACACTCTCAATTCATATACTAAATCCACCCATAACATTCCGTTTTTTTTCCTAGAATGTTCTTCAAATTTTGTTTTTAGTGCCCAAGAACTAAGCTTGAATCTCTGCATCAGTAATTTCTTAACATGCTGATAATCATCTGATTTATCTGCTGGTTCTTTCACTATTGGCTGGGCTACATTGTGAGGTAATAAAGGAATTAATTGCAAGACCCAATCAATCTCATTAATGTTCTCTTTTTGAGCTTGTTTCTCAAATAGCATAAAGAATAATGAAATATCCATATTACTCGGTTCAAGATCTTTCAAATTAACTTTTTTTCTCTAGATTGTTCAACTGTCCAAACCGTGGAAGCTAGGCTATTATTCTGAACCACATTCATCAGTTTTAACCTTTCCAATTCAAAAACTCACTCCCGCTCCCATTCCCTTCTCTCTTGTTCACGTTCCCATTCTGCTCTCTCTTGTTCCCGTTCACGTTCTGCTCTCTCTTGTTCACGTTCACGTCCTGCTCTCTCTTGTTCGGCTATTTCTTCTGCTTTTTTCTGCTCAGCTGCTGCCCAAATTCTTGCCGCATATTCTTTCGCCGCTTCTTCTTCATAGTCCTCAGCATTTAGAACAGCCTGCTTAATTTCTCTTACTCTATTTGCCTGAGACACATTTGTATCAAACTCCTCCGCTAACTCCAATAGCAGAGCTTTAGAAAATTTCCTCATAAGCTCACCCATTATCGAAAATTAGAGAAAATTACCTACCCCAAAATAAAATAACACAAAAAGAACAACAGGTCCAGCTCTCCAAAACTGAATAATACCCTAATAATTCTGAACACAAATTTCCTTACAACACTAAATGAATATATCTATGCCTACATACAAAACATATATCAAAAAAATTAATTAAGAGGCAATCTTTTCCTGCTCTATTTAACTATATAAATGTTGTCCTCTAACTCTGGACTGATTTAAAAAACTAAATTTTTCTAAAGCATACCGTTACAATACTTCATACAATTTAAACAGTTAAATTCCAATTAGCAAAGGTAACCACAAGACTAACTTTCAAAAACCACAAGAAAACTTTTGATCTCCAAAAACAGAGTTATATCCAAAATATACCTAGCCTCGAGTAACTGGTATAACTTCTCCAAAATCACAAAAATGGTACTCACCAATTTTGAAGACGCCTTCGATTGACTCTCCTGGCACTAATATGAGACATACTATATAACTATGAGATAAACATAAAATACATAATTATTTCCTAATGGTAAATTTACATATATATTTATATTACTCCATACATATATATTTATATCTATATTACATAACTTCTTACTTGAAGAGATTCATTTGTTGCTCCAGTTTCATTTTCCATTTTATCTAGAGCTGTAAATAATAATAATATCATAATTAGTTACTAATCAGACAATTAAAATTTAAGCTAGTTAAATATGACAATTCATTATTGCATCAAGAAAGTGTGCACTATATCTGTGATACTTCAATTATCATACAACAATTCCATGTCCCTACCAGGGTTAGATTTCTTTGGAAGAAATATGTTTCTTCCAGGACAGTAGAAGAAGAAAATGGAAGAAATTAACAATGATGTATCCGGCAGGCTGCTAAAGGAAACAAGTTTAAAGGGAACAGTTCTTATTAAAAAAAAAAAAAAAAAAAAAAAAAAAGTTTTATTATTTCTGCAAATAAATACAAAATAATTAACTAATCTTTCCTAAAAGATTAACAAAATTAGAAATATTATTTATTTGGAATGGTGATGGTATTGTTATTAATTTACTAAGCTGATATGGAAAGTAATGCGCATAACTCCTGTATATCTGACAGTATGAAGGTTACACATGCGTAGTTACATCAATCAACTGAAGAATGACTTAGCTTAGCAATTTTGTTTGTTTCATTAAAATCTAAAGTCACTAATTGTTGGTAATCATGTTTAAAACAATCTATCAGCCTGCCAACCATGAACTAACAGCCGTTATTAAGTTTCTGAATGCAAGAAAAGTTCGACTTCGTGAAATATCAGGTGTATCAGGTAATACAGTCAAAAGTCTTTAATCCGGACTCGTTTTGGCGATTCCAGATTATCGGTTTTTCAGGATTATAGATCATCAGTTTAAATCTGGTAAGATGGCATGCAGAAATTATAAAATTAAAAATATGAAACCGTAATTTATGAAATGAGCAATTATGATCTAAAGGCTATCAAAATTTACAAAACAGAGCTTAATATTTATCTGTTTACTGTACTAAACATTTCTTTCAATGCACGCATGCGTAAAGCATACATTACGCATAGCCGAAATTAGAAAAATTGCAACCAGAAAACTATTTGATGACGAGGAATTTGATTTAAATCATATCAAAAACGGAGTACATCGAGATGAAATACTACATTTAGTAAGGAATTATAATCGGAATAAAATAAAAAAAATCTGCTCTGAAGATAAGGATAGTGCTGACAGATCAACTTCCAGTTCATTGCGCGCCACTATGTCCCCCCCCCCAGAGCAGCGTGAAATTGATAAACAGATTTTGAAATGGTTAGAGAAGCAAAAGATATGCCTTTATCCATTTTTTGCAGCAATTCCTTTTTTTGCTTGATGGACATCAAAACATGCTTTCGCTTTGTAGATCCTTTGGCAGCTCTAGAATCGGAAATTCTTTTTGACATAATCGAAAGTTCAAGCTTACTTTCATAAAATTGCTCTAACAGTCTGCAAAAAAATAATAAGCCAGATCCAATTAGAAGATTAAGGAACAACGCAATCTGCAACATTAACTGAAATAGATAATTTTAGCTTAATTTATACCATCCGTTATACATTAAACGCGCATGCGTAAACAATGTAATATGAGCATGCATAAACGCATGTGCAGAAAGTTTGTAGCTTTGAGGTCTGGATTATAGATCATTCCGGATTATGGACGTTCGGATTAAAGACTTTTGATTCACTTACCTGACGATACCTGATGCAGAGAATGCAATGAGTGAAGATATGATGTGAAAGTGGGTAAGAAAGTTTAACAAAAGAAGGGAAAATACCCATGATGTAAAGTGCAGAGGATGTCATTCATTGATCATCTAAGAGTTGGTGTACTGCAGCAACAAAAACGTTCATTTCTATAGGCAGGTCAGAGTTTCCGATTTGTCAATGCATTTTCAAAATACTTCACTATCTTTATTACGTGGAACTGTGACTGATCAATGGAATTGGTCAGTAATAAGTAATTATGAATTGTGTTCATGATGCGTACTGAAAACACTAACGAACATTTAAAAACGGAAAGCCATGGAAATAGCCTTGGAGTTTTTGCAGTAATATGCGACAGAAAGAAACAATTTTTTTAAAAGGATTGTCACCGGCAGTAAAACATGGATTTGTTACAAGATAACTTAAACGAAATAACAGTCATTGAAATGGCAGCATACTGCTTCCCCCAAACCCCAGAAAGCAAAGCCCTCTCTTATTTCATGAAAAAATCATGTGCACTATGTTTTAGGACCGTCAAGGAATTTTGTTAGAGGACTGGATGTAATAAAACACAGCAATAAATGCTACAGCTTACTGTGAGACACTGAGGAAGTTATGGCATATAATACAGAATAACTAGCATGGACCTTTTGGTATTGTGTTTGTGCATGACAACTCACAATCATACTGCAGAGTAACAATGATGCTGCTTGATTCCTTTCACTGGGAACAATTTGGTCACCCCAGCTCCTTTTTCTATTTGTTTTTTCACCTCAAGAAATTTTTTTTCTGGCCAGCAGTTTGCAACTGATGTTGAAATCAAGGTAAATGTTCAGAACTGCTCAGGTTGCAGGCAACTGAATTCTATGAAGACGGTATGTTGCAATTAGAGCCAGGATATGATACCTGCTGAAATTCACATGGTGAGTATGTCAAAAAGTAATTTAAGGTGTGTAGAATTTTCTGTAATCAAATTCAAAGGGAAAAAATGCTAATCTTTCTTAATATGCAAACAGAATTTACTTTCTGAATGATCTTTGTATAATATGTTACTTGTTGATGATGTAGATTCAGTTTTCTAACTGCAAATTAAATTTTTGTTTATGTTCTTTCTGAATAAATACATTTATTTCCTATTTTTAGTTTCAAAATTCAGCCACAGTCAGAGATATGAAAGCAAATCTCGTACCAGGTACCAAAACATACGTACACATTAACAAATAAAATTATTGCAGGCATACAAATGAATAAAAATATACAGATAATGATAATATTTAAATTGATTACTAACACAATAATATTAGATGAAAAATATACCATATTTGCCGGCATATAAGACAGCAATGCGGACGTTGCTTTTGAGCCATAACTTGCCAACAAATTTAAGAAAATTGAACTGTAGAAATTTCATACACTTAAAAGTCGTTCACAAAAATTGGAAAGTTTAAACAAACCCAGCTGTTATCATTGATGATAAAAAAAAAAAAAAAAAAAAAAAAAAAAAAAAACCAGATTGCTATGTATATAAAGCAACTTTTGGTGTGAGTATGGATAAATCAGAAAGTACCATATTTTCTCGTCTTTTGAATTTATCATTCACCAACAAAATTTAGAAAAAGAAGCAGTTATCCACCAAATCAGTGTTTTATCGTTAGATTCAAGGAATCCACAGGTTAGAAATCTTTCTGCAGGATTTAATGAAAGCTTTGAATTTTCAGTTAAGTAGAAAACAGTTTTTAATTATAGAGTGCAGCAGGATCTTCAAAGTGAAAGCATGTTTTGATGTCAATTAATCATAAAATGGAATTGCTGCAAAAAAAAAAAAAAAAAAAAAAAAAAAAAAAAAAGGATAAAGACATACCCATTTCAAAACTGTGTGAGGAGTATTGGATAGATATTGGTACAGGACTAAAGAAAACCACATGACTTCTTTTTATGACCTATTAAACTATACACACTTTTTGCTGCTCATCATTTAAGCTTATGTTTTCAAATTATTCTAACTTAATTAAGAGTTCCCTGAAAGCAAGTTGAAAATGACATAAAAAATTACAAATTTTAAAATTAAATGTCTTCATGAATTTTTGTCATATGGCAGTTGAATTTCTTAACATTTTATTTTATATTAACGAGTATAAAACTTTCCCAAATATGAATATACGGAAGATCGCATTAAAAGTTAGATTTCGTCAAAATAAAGGTCAGGTAAAGACTTTTAAGCCCAGTAAGGGGACATGCATATATATATATATATATACTTTTGGTACACTTTTGTAAAAAAGGGAGGTGCGAAACTAGATGTCATAGTAGTCTCATATACAAAATTTCAACATTCTACAGCTTATCATTTTCCAGTTATAAGAGATAAATACATATAGACATACATACATACATGCACATATCATGAAAAAATCACTTCTGAATCTATTTTACAATTTGTTTATGACGGAAGAACTCTTTTATTCTGTCCTACATATAGAAATGCAAAAAAATCCCCCAAACTGATTAGGTAATGGTCAAAATGGATATTTATATTAAAATATGATACCAAAATTTTTCGAGATTAGAAGGCTTTCTTTACAAGGAAATAAAAAATCATTTTTTTTTTTATTTGGACACTTTATTCGTAATGAACAACAACAACAAAAAAAAAAAAAAAATCATTTGCTTTAATTGATGTTTATGACAAAGTGATGACTGAATGGATAAGACAGTGTCACGGCGAGAGCAATGGACACTGAAGCAGCTGAACAATTTGAAAGCAAATTCAATGAACTCCTGAATAGCAATTCAATGAACTCCAGAACCTATTCATAAGACTGATAAGACTGTTTCTAACAATATGTGCTCCTCTGGTGAACTCTGCAGAAAAGGCCCCAACTAGTGCCCATTTCATACCCATGGCTTGGCAACATTTGAAATCAGTTGGTTTATTGGATGATACAAATTTTGTCCCTATAACAGACAGGTGTCTAACTCAAACTTCACTTAAAGTTAATTAAAGAAAACATCTTCATCTACAGTCTTTTATCCAAACTGTAAATCCATGATTCAGCCAATGGATATAAGTACGTGTTGAAATGTATAGATGCCTTTTAAAAACATATGCTATATTTTCTGAACAGTGATAAGATAATGAATATTTTAAAATAAAATCTGCTAGATAGAACATTTCAAGGTTATGAAAGAATGTGTCTGAAGTTATTTTTAAAAATGCTTCACATAATTTGTGGCCAGTTACCATATTTCATGATGGTATATGCTCCTCTGGCGAACTCTGCAGAAAAGGCCCCAATTAGTACCCATTTCATACTCAAGGCTTGGCAACATTTGAAATCAGTTGGTTTATTGGATGATGCAAATTCTGTCCCTGTAATAGACAAGTGTCTAACTCAAACTTCACTTAAAGTTAATTAAAGAAAACATCTACATCTTAGTCTTTCATCCAAACTGTAAATCCATCATTCAGCCAATGGATATAAGTACTGCATAAATTGAAATGTACTAGATGTATAGATGCCTTTTAAAAATCTATGTTACATTTTCTGAATAGTAATAAGATGATGAGTATTTTACAATAAACTCTGCTAGATAAAACATTTCAAGGTCATGAAAGAACGTGTCTGAAGTTATTTTTAAAAAATGATTAATATAATTTGTGGCCAGTTACCATATTTTATGATGGTGATGATGATAGAACCATAAATTTAAAAGTTTTAGGAGAAAATAAAAGGCGAAATTTTGCAATTAATGACATTTGAAGTAATGTGGAGAAATGATAATAAATGAAGATGTAACAGAAGTTTTCCATTGCAGTGACTACCATCTTTGCCCAAAACATCAATCAGCCAATGGATGGTGAAATCTATAGCAGGGGTTCTCAACCGGTGGTACACAAGAGAAAAATAGGTGGTACGGCAAAAAAGCAAAGTATTTTTAACTATTAAATTCAAAACCCCAAAATCCTGTCTGAGTTTTTTCTCTAACACTCGTAAATTTATGTGATCTGAACTTTGTTCAAGAATGGTGGCAATTTTTGTTTAGATGGTATGCGTTAGTCAAAGGTTGAGAACCGCTGATCTATAGTACTATCCATGAATGATATGTTCATTTCAAAGGGTGCCTGGACTGGGAGTCCTATCCCTATCGAAGTTGCGTCTCTTTTCAAACATTACTGTCATAAGGTGCATAAGGCATGTCTTTGTGAAGCAAGAAATATGGCATTAGTCCTTGAAAAAGTAGACTGTGAAGATGATACAAGCACTGGAAAATCCGCAACCGGAGAGTCGAAGCACGACATCAGTACACAGGCAGGCAATGCGCGATGAGAGAAGTAACGTCTATCACTGTGGCCGTCATCGCTGGAACTGGGTGGAGAAGAGGCTGGATGATCTAAAGTTGTGGTAGGTCATGTGACACAGAGCATCCAATGGCAGTTGAGAGAAGTATTTAGAAATTGAAGGCTGAGGGGGTCACATGCAAGCTGTGATTTTTGGAAGTTTAAGGTGTATTAATGAACTTAGAAAGTTTTTCAAAGAATTTTTTTTTTTCCCTAGCAAGTATTAATTAAAGATATTAGCTTCTTCACATATGGTGAATAGTATAAATAATTTTTCCATGGGAGTATCTGCTGTTTTTAGCTGGTCCACATTGGATCTTAATAAAGTGAATAATTTAAATAGATTGCTGTTTCCAAAAATAAAGTTTAATTCTTTTAAAGTAGAAAATATATCAGAAAAATTATTGCGATTTTCTTGGCTATTGTTATTCTGGTTTTTAGCAGTTTGAATATGCTTAGATGAAGCTTGTGCATAACTTTTGCCTTCAGTAAGTGTAGCTGAGTGTGAAGTATTTTTTTTTTTTTTTTTTTTTTTTTTTTTTGTTGTTGTTGTTGTTGTTGAAAGTTAAATTTGATGAGCTATTATTAGTTCTGGATGTATTTTGGGGAAATTTCTCGCAATCGCGATAGGATGCTGGATGATTTTTTGAACAATTTGCGTAAATTGGATTATCTATTTTTCCTGGTGTAGGACAATCTGAAGTTTTATGATTTTTGGTACATTTGACATATCTTGGTAAGAAGAAGCAATTGTCTGATGAATGGTGGAATCTTTGACAGTTGTGGAATTGTGGAATGATGTTTTTGTTAATGTATTTTTCTATGGTGATCATGAAAAGTCCTAAGTGTGTTTCATTGTAAACATTTTCTATGTTGGCTGTTTGCATGAGTTGTGCTTGAAATAGTGGCATAGGTTGTTTGGTTTTAAAACGTGTTAATTGAACTACTTTGTAGACTGTGTATCCTAAATTTATTAATTCTGTTGAAATTTCGTCTTTGTCTGTTGTGATTGCTAATCCTCTGATGACTACTTTTATCGGTCTTTTATGTTTAGGTGTAATTACATAGTGTTCTATGTTGTGTGTTTTTAAGTCTAATGTTAATTGGCGGTGATCGTCTGGGGTGCTTAGTAATAGTTTAAGGTATTCTCTGTTGACTTTTACAAAGAATATTGCTTGTGTGAGAGTATAATTTTTTTAAGATATTGATTGTGAGTGGCGCCATCTTCCAGCTTTATTATAATTGGTGTTGGGTATTTATTATTTTCTTGGATATTATTAGCTTTTTGAGTGTTGTTAATTAATTGGGATGATTGAGTAATGTTATTGCTAGTATCTGATTGAGTGGTAGACTGAGATAGTACATTAAAACTATTTTTAGTGGCAATTAAATTTGGAGGTGATGTTTTTGGTAATTTAACGGTTTTGGTGGGTTTAAAAAATCCATCTGGGTCCCTTTCAGTATCAGAAGTTTCTTCTTGCTTTCTTTTAGAGTTAGTGTGCGGGTGAGTGTAGCTTGCATGTGATAAAGCAAAAGTTAACTTACTCCTCAGCGCTATCAGGGACTGCTTCTTTTCTTCTATCCTCTTTTCAAGGGTTCCGTATGATAATCTCTTTCCGTAACTGGTCTTCCAGCTGATTACAACCTGAGTGAGTCGATGTCTGATTCCATCATAATTTCCAATGTCCGAATTTCATTTCTCAGCGTAGCGATTTCTGCATCCATAAGTGCAAGCTGCCCGTGGTCTAAGTCCATTGCCGTCGTATTCGAGGTGTCCCGGAGTGACTCCGGATCCGTGACTTTATCTGGTGGAACTGTTCGCTTTTAGGAGTCTGCTTAGTACGAGCCATTATGACAAGTAACGCTTTCGTTAAAATGAGAGGCAAGAGGTTGCTGAGAACATAAAGATTTCAGCTGACAGTTTAGTGAGTTTTTTAAATGGCAATTACAGGGCTTGAAGAATGGAACTCTGTAACTGAACTAAAGCTTATAATTATCTATAAAAGTCTTTTAAAAAAGTAGTAACATACAAAAAAAAAAAAAAAAAAAAAAACTTTACAAACTTACATTAAATGAAATGTTTAACAAAACAAATTTAAAAATATTGAGATTTTTGTAAATTTTTATTATGTTCATAAATATTTTCGGCAAAGTGCAAAATTGACCAAGTTGCCGAACACAATTTCAGGAAGTTCGCAAAGTGCCGGTTTTCTGAGTATCCCCGAAGAATTGGATTTTTGTCAATTTTCTTTGACTTTTTAAGTGTAAAATCAGTTGATGTGTACATGGATAAAGTTAAGCGCAATGTCATTTTTGTGAAATTCTGGGATTTTTTTTAAGTGAAAATAGGTTGATGTGTAAATGGATACAGTGTTTGTGCAATTCTTAAAAACGCGACATGCAGTGGGCGATTCTGCTCTTTCCCCAATACTTTATTTCATAAACAACTATTTCATATTTGGCTCTACTTTTATATGCAACCTATGATCACCAAATGTGGCGATATGTGTTCTGCCCTGGTTTTTGGCGCCATTCCATGCTGTGGGATGGTTTGGTGGACAATGCTGTTTGTATGGCAACCCTTTTAACATTGAAACTTAGAGACCAGGTAACAAGATTTTAGATTGTGTGCAAAGCAAATTTAGTATTAAAAGGTACGATGTTGGAGTTGTTAACAAGTCTTTTGTTCACGGGTGTGCTTATGCGGATAGAAGCGCATTTTTGAAATTTCTGTGGGAGTTAGGACTTTTAAAACGGAGTTTGGCGTGTCCGAAATGCGGAGCTGATATGAGAAGTCGGGTGAAGAATGGTGTTTTTGATGGATATGTATGGATTTGTGGTTGCATGGTTGCTGGTAAAGTATGTGGCTGTCAGCAGAGTTTAAGATTTGGATTGTGGTTTTCATGTAGTAAGTTAACTTTGGAGGAAGTTTTTATTGTTACTTTCGAATTTCGAATCTCGGAAAGACATGATATAGCAAAATCGTGGCACTTTTGTTCAACAGACGTTGTGTGACTGGCGAAATTTTATTATTCAGGTATTGTATTATGGTAAGCGTGCATTTTATTTTTGCTGTTTTTATTTTGTAGAATGCTATGTTCTGTGGGAATCAGGACTTTTAAAACGGAGTTTGGCGTGTCCGAAATGCGGAGCTGATATGAGAACTCAGGTGAAGAATGGTGTTTTTGATGGACATGTGTGGATTTGTACTGATAAAGTATGTGGCTGTCAGCAGAGTTTAAGATTTGGATTGTGGTTTTCGTGTAGTAAGTTAACTTTGGAGGAAGTTTTTATTGTTACTTTCGAATTTCGAATCACAGAAAGACGTGATATAGCAAAATCGTGGCACTTTTGTTGACAGACATTGTGTGACTGGCGAAATTTTATTAACGTATGTATTATGGTAAGCGTATTTTATTTTATTGTTTTTATTTTGTAGAATGCTATGTTCTGTGGGAATCAGGACTTTTAAAACGGAGTTTGGCGTGTCCGAAACGCGGAGCTGATATGAGAACTCAGGTGAAGAATGGTGGTTTTGATGGACATGTGTGGATTTGTACTGGTAAAGTATGTGGCTGTCAGCAGAGTTTAAGATTTGGATTGTGGTTTTCGTGTAATAAGTTAACTTTGGAGGAAGTTTTTATTGTTACTTTCGAATTTCGAATCACAGAAAGACGTGATATAGCAAAATCGTGGCACTTTTGTTGACAGACATTGTGTGATTGGCGAAATTTTATTAACGTATGTATTATGGTAAGTGCATTTTATTTTATTGTTTTTATTTTGTAGAATGCTATGTTCATTGTTTTTTTACTATGAATTTCTGTTGTTATTTGAATTGTTTGCAATTTATTTTAGTTTATTTTGTTGATTTGTGCACCATGCCTAGATTGTGCAATTTGTAGATGTTTTTTTTAAGTTTAAACAGAATGCTGTGTACATGGTATTCTTTGAAATTTATTGTTGTTATGTTAATTTATTAAAGCGAGGTGTGCATAGTTCATAGATTCTTTCGCTGAGTAGATTGTGCAATTCGTAGATTTTTTTTAAGTTACAACATATCGCTCTGTACATGGATTCTTGTCAAATATTTTTGATTATAAACTTTACTTTTTTGCTATCTAAATTTTTTGTTTTTGTTTCGGATTTTTAGGTTAAATTGTGTGTTCAAAACGCGTTTTTGGAGACATTTTCGGCTTAAAGTTCGAAATGTAGACAAAAAATTTAGATAGTAATATGGCACCGTAGAGTTTCTCGCTAAAAATGTTTGGCACGAAATTTGGCAACCTGAGGGCGATTACAAGAGTAGTTCCTCATATTTTTAATTTTATAATTTCTACACATCATCTTATTAAATTTAAACTAATAATAAAAAAATCTAGAAATCTACGAAGTTCCGAGGATTCCGGATCTCGGACACGTTATAAAACAGCAATGTTGTTACATTACAAAAATAAAATGCTGTCTTTTTTTTCCACGGAAATATTGGTACTTACGTATTAACGCAACCAGGCCAAAATTCGCATAAATCGCCAAATTTGGCGACTCTACTTACGGCAACCCTACGTGTTATGGGGGTGTACTACCACAGCAATGGTTTTCGGCGGAATTTGCCGAGAAAAGAAAGACTTTTTTGGTTACTGTACCTAACAGAAGCGCCGTTACCTTCATGGAAAAAATTTGCGAAAATATCAAGGAAGGAAGCATCATTTATTCGGATTGCTGGAAAGGATACAATACAAGTGAGTTCGAAAATGCTGGATTTCTGAATGGAACTGTTAATCACAAATATAACTTTGTGGATCGCAACAAAAGGCGTTCACACACAACATGTACAGCGCATGTGGGGCTCAGCCAACTGGCCCAACAAAAAACAGAGAGAAACAGCCCGTCATCATCTTGACTCATACCTTATCGAATTTATATGGTGTCAAGCTCAAGCTGTTAATGGCGAAGACAGTTTTCAATCAGTGCTAAAAGCAATAGCCAAAAGATTTCCGCCGAAAAAATAATTCTGCAACTTATTCAAATTCAAACCGGAAGGGTTTAATTGCTATTTTATATTTTAAAACAAAATAATATAAAAAACTGTATTAAAAATTATCTGTAATTAATAAATGTACATTTTCTTTCTATTCATACTTTTTTACTCAAACTTACAAATCGCGCTAACCTGGTTGCGATAATACGTAAGTACCGAAATATTTTTAAAACTTTGGAGCAAAACATTTATATATATCAATGAATAAAAATCCCGGCTCTAGTGTAGAATTGGGTACCTCTTCGATTAGCGACAATTTTTTGTCAAAATCACCGACAACATGCACTATTTACACATTTTTTAAACATATATATATATTTTAGTTTAAATTAAGACGCAACCACCATTAGGATATAGCATAGCACTCAATCTAACATTAGACCTGTATTTTTAATTCTTAAATGAAGAATTTAAATTTTAAACATTGCAATAAACGCAACAATATGGCAAATTAAAAAAATAACTGCTCAATGATACTCTAACCTGAAAAGATACACTTTTCTAGCAAGTCTCACTACCGTATACGTAATCGTATACACATATCGTAAATCCAACGTGGTTTTTAAAATCGTAAACATTACAGAGTTGAGATACAAAGCAAATTCATTATACAGTTGAGATGTACATAGGCTGATATTACTTTTTGAAAGGAACATTTCTTCCTAGCATGACTTCTAATTTGCGATTTATTTATTTTTTGTAAATAATCTGAAATTCGTTTAAAGCGTGTCATGCAGTACTTAGATCTAAGAAAATTTATAAAAAAAGATACTTCTAAGCTATGAACACTGCAAAAACCAAACATTTCTCATTTTATATTCATTTACAACCTTTCATTCAGTTCTAAACCAGCATTCATGTTTCAGTAATAATTCTTTCATTTTATATTAATTTTGAAAAAGGATTATCAAAGGATGACTGTTGACGTTTCGTAAGAAAACTAATGGCATGGGAAAATGGGTTTACCTTAGAATTAATAATATGGTTTATGTCGCGATATTTACTGCAACTTTCCAACAAGGACGGTTACAGTCAATAATAATGGATATCTATTCTTCCTTGCGGTGTGTTTAGGGATGACGCCATTTTCTGAAGATTATTTAGAAGTTTTCTGATGACTTAGAAGCATTTTGTTCGGTATATAATCGTTGCGGACGTTAAGATGGAGGTCGTGCGTATTTTTAATAATGAGGTGAGTTTACATTTCTGAGTTTGCTAAAGATAATGTATGCTGATATGATCAGATGCTTCCAATTGGTATCATTAAGCATTTGTTTGCGTGCTGGATGTCCTCTAATTTTTGATTTTGTGTGTTAATATCACCCTTGGGAGTTTCATTATCGTGTATTATCATTAATTAACTTTTTTATAAGTTATGTTAAATTGTGTTTCTCATGTAGCCTTTCAGTGATTTACATGATGAGTATATTTCTAAGGAGCTTCATATCCATTTATTATTAGTAATTAAATGCTCCATTGGTAAATAGCATAACTTAATTTTAAAGATTTTGTCTGTTTGATATAGCCTTTTTGTGGTCTGTTATCTGCCGAAGACGTTTCTTTCATTGCCGATTTGCATGTAAATGAAATAAATTTTATTTTAAAGCTGTATAAATGTATCTTGCATCTGTTTAACGCATTTGTATCAAACTTCAACGTGTCTCTATCGTGTTTTTCGCATAGTATGTGAAACATGTTAATTTAAATTCTGTATCAGATTTCCTCACATTTCGACGTTTAACGATATGAGTTGTTGTCCTGATTGCATATAAATTCCGCATATTTATATAATAATTAGCATTTGAAGAAAATCAGTCTTAGAAGTGGTATTATGGAAATAAGCCCCTTTTCTGCATGCGGATATTTAATTCAAAGTTTTTGGAAAATAATTGATATCTACCTCAAATTGGTCTTTCAGTGATAAAAATGTAACCTCAAATTAAGAATATTTATTCGAAGTTTCTAGAAAATTGATTGATAATTACCTCAACTTGGGTCTTCCAGTGACAATGTAACCTCAAACTAAGAATTTGCAAAAATTTCATTAATTGGCATGCCAGCCTTTACAGATGTGGTTCTAGAGTGAAATATCTCGATTCATATGTAGAAAGTATCCATATAGTACTTAAATAAACAAACAGCATCTTGATTGTTTATAAACATGGAACATATCCCTCCTAATCATTAACTGCATTTCAGTAAAATGCAGAACGGAAGATGTTATCTATGAGGTGGTTGATGTTGATTTTATAATCAAATTGAGTATTAATATTAAGAAATTCTATGAGTGTATATAATAATTAAAATAAAACAGTTATATTTGGTTGTGACAGATTTATCAACCAGTTGTTAAATCTGTTTGTAACAAAAGTTTTCCATCAAAACACGTTCTTAATAAAGTTGCGGGGGGGAAACATGGGTTATAGTAGATATAAGGGTGCCCCTTGTATTATCGTGAAGTTGTTGTTTCATGTATCGCAAAGTTAATCTTTCATTTATGGTAATTTGAGTAGTTGAATGTTATAGAAACCCTATTATGACATAATTGGTTGTGTAATTGCAGTGAATTTGAATGATGGGAAAAGATTTGTAATGGCTTCTAGTGTATGTTGGTTAGGAAGTTCGCTGCTTGTTTTGTGGTTTAGATGGTAAAATGGCTGAATGTGGTGAGATTAATTTGAAGTTTCTGTACGATTTGGAACGAAAGGGGAAAAGAGCATTAATTGAGTGGTGTGTAAATGAAGATTTATGTAGTAGCCATTATAAGTGTCCTGTTTGTAGAAAGGAAATGCGTATGGTCGAACGTTGGAGGATACAGACACTACACAGGATACTTTTTACTCTTATTTTTGTGAATTTATGTGGTGAAGCCAGTATACAGATTCTAGTTCAGATAATTTTAGAAAGTTTTTGGATGCTGTTAAGGAATTTTGTCTGACTGAAGACAAAAAAATTTCTAAATAAGGCTAAGTCTATATTTCCTTTGTGTAGTGTTAAGATGAATTTCCTTTTTTATGTTATTTCCCTGTTTGATTTAAGATGTAGTTTATTGAGATTATATATTTTTTGTTGGTTTAATCCTATTATCCGGTGCACACGGAATTTGGCTACTTTTGGCGACTTTATGATGAGCAGTAAAAACGGGACATATACGATGAGTAGTTCACGGGTCATTCAAAGAAAATATATACAGTTAAACATAATAGTATATATACTATGTGCGTATATACATATACTATGTGTATATAGTATATATATATATAAACGTTCTTTGGATCATTTTTGGTGTTGGCGATAATTTTTAAAGTCGCATCAAGGCTGCACCGTATACTAGGATTTTACCTTTTTATTGGCTACTCATTTGACTTTTAGTGAAAATAGATCGATGTGTACATGGACAAAGTCAAGGGAGTACACAGTGCCAAGTTTGGGCAATTTTCTGCTTTTTTTTAAGTGAAAATAGGTCAATGTGTACATGAATACTGAGTTTGTGCAATTCTTTGACTTGTTATTTTGGCTTTGTGTAGCGGCAATGGATGCCGAGTTCTTGCAATTCTTTAACTTTTTTTGTTTTACCTTGATAGCAGCTTGAACACTGACTAGTACCTCGATGAAAAACTTACTTTTTCCAGATACTTACTTTTTTACCTTTTTCTAGGTACTCTTTGTGGATAATACCACAGCAATCCCAGAAGCACTTCCGCAGAGAACCAGGTAAATGTAAACATTGCCAACTTTGGCGATAATAGTTCAAACCTGGTAACCCAGCGGATTCATCCTATTCTCTTATTCGAAGGTTGCAATCAATCCTCTTTCGTTCATTTTGTTGAATTATCTCTGCCGTTGTTCGCATTTTCAAATTCATATTATTCTTCTCTTATTTATTATTATTTTTTCTGATTTTCCACGTTATTTTTTAACAACGAATAGATAGAAATATTTTCGTATAATTGTAGAATTTTTCGTCGATAGATGACGATTTTCGGTTCTTCAGTTAGGAAGAAAATATGGCGGGAAGGGTGAATGCTAATTAGTAACATGGCTGTTCACGTTGTGTTCTTAATTATTAACAGCTGTAAGCACGCAGAACCATGAGGTTTCCAACCCATAAAATAATTTGTTTTCATAGGCCGCAAAAATGTGCACTGCATTTAAAATAAGTAATGCTTTTATTTTTATTATTGGTTATTGTCATCTAAAATGAGAATAAATCAATTTTTATGGCATAAAATTTTAACAAAATAATATATTGTTAATGCTTTTATAATAATAACCTTTCAGAGGATGCAGGTGTGACATGAATAGATGATTAAATTGAAATAAAAAATATTATTGATTATCTAAGATGACAGAATACTTTAATGCATCCCCATGATCATCAAAATTAGCAAACTACTGCTGGTGTAAGGAATATATTGTTTTCTGTGCTAACTGGAATTTAAGACGAATGTTTTTTTGTATATCATGTTTAACCGGTTAATTTCAATTTTTTAAATGAATTTTTATTTCCATTATAAATGCTTATATATTCTTTTCTGTGCTAACCTGAATTTAATACAAATTCATTTTTGTATATCACATTTACATCTGTGGTTAGTTTTACATCTGCATGCTTATTATTTGTTAATTTTTACTACTATATGCTTAATATATTGTTTTGTCTGCTAACTTGAATTTCCACGCACTAAAAACCACGTTTACGGCTGATGAGCCGTGAGTTTGGTAAGTAAAAATGCTACGGCACCAATGGGTTCTCTGCGAATGAAAACCCGAAATCCCACCTGATACAAAGTCTGATCCTCTTGTTAATCAAATCGCGCTTTGCGAGGCTGCTGACGGGCTCACCGGGCACAGACAACCCCTGTTTCAGCCTGTGTTGTTGAAGTAAATCCACTTTTCATCACAAGTGATGATTTGATCCAGAATTTTGTCGTTCCAGAAACTTGGTGCCCTCAAGTCCAAAAACAGATCAATCTTATTTCAGATGTCCTGTACAGAATAGAAGATAATATCAGTATCATATAACTGCAGGTGTGAAAAAAGGTAGAAGTCTGAAGGAGCAATGTCGGCGCTATGTGGTGTTTTTGACAAAACATCTCATTCGAGTCCGTACATAGTCCACCCGGTAAATGCAGACACGTGGTATTTCATTATCTTGCATTACCTTTTGCGCTGGAACTCAGTTTGACGTTTTTCCTTGACAGCAGCGTCAACACAGACTGCTGGTGAGGGTTTTATCTTTTTCCAGATACTCTTTGTAGATAATACCATAACGATCCCACCTGATGCAAAGTCTGATCTTTTTGTTAAATTTCTCTTTCTGATGCTGCCGATGGTCACACTGGGCTCAGACCAACCGCTTTTTCAGCCTGTGTTGTTGAAGTAAACCCACTTTTCATCACAAGTGAGGATTCGGTCCAGAATTTTGTCCTTACATTGATATTCGAGCAGATTAGTGCAGGCCTGAACACGTCGGTCCTTATCTGCCGCTTGAGTCAGCTTATGCGGTGTCCAGCAATTGAACTTGTACGTCAAGTTTATGCGATGCATAGTGTGGCTAATGGATATGGCAGTAACATCTGATTCCTTAGCAAGCTCTTGAGTGGTTGCATACTGATTTTCTTCCACAAGTTCTCACATGCAGGCCTCATCAATATCAGTAGGCTGCCCAGAGTGCTGTGCTTCTTAAATGTCATAGTCCTTGTTTTTGAACTTTTGGTACCAAATCTTGACCATATGATACATTAGTAGCAAAAGCTGTACACATGATTTCGTGATATTCTGTAGCTCACTTTTTGCGACGGAACTAGAACTGAATGATGGTTCTAATCTGGTAGCTTGATAATTGCATTTCAGACACCTTGTACTTAATGATAACGGTATTTTTATACAAATTTCTCAACAGTGTTCTAAAGCAAGTCTCTTTCTTATAACCCTTTAAAGGGCATTGGTATATAAAATATACCACTTTGTCAATATTTTAGCCCCTTAAAAAATGCTAATTTTTCTACACCAAAAGCTATAATCTCAAGTTTTTTACTGTTTCCTTTTGATTCTAAATAGCAGCAGGTAAAAATATATTTATGGGTGCTCCTTGGCGAAAATTGGCAATTTTTGGTGGTGCATGGATATTGAGTTTGTGCAATTCTTTGACTTGTTATTTTGGCTTCATAAATCGCCATTACACAAAGA